TACTTGCAATTAATTTATAACATCCTCTCTTGTGCATATATGTTTATGTCAGGCTTTCACTCAATATTAATTAAATTTCAGGTTAACTTATGATGAATGAATAAATAAGCCCCACAAACTGCAAGAAACCAATGAATAATGTTTATTTTTTTAATTAATGACTGGGGTACTAAGGTATCATGATATCAAACAACTGTGCAAATTTACGTAGGGCCGTATGATCAGCAATACCATTAAACAAAAGCAGTTTTGCTTTAAATCTTCACAACAAAATAGTTTTCATTTGTCCCCTGAGGTTGTTTTCTTCTCTTAGACCCTTCTTTGTCATAGCTTTGTCCTAATCTGGAAGCTCAACCCTGTCAGCAACATAATCCCCTGGCCGGTTCCTTGTCCTTTTTGAGATTGTGCCTTGACTTCACAAAACCAAGACATCATTGGTGACAACCCAACAATGAGGCCTAATTTCAACAGGAGTCATGATGAGGCAATCTGAAATGTTGTGCTTCTCTACTACTTGAGAATTGGAGTAATATTGAGGACACACATTATCTTGATTATCCGTATCTGTTTCTGGTATTCCTGATTCGTTGTTCCAGTATCCAAAGGTGGCTAAAGTTATAGGTAATCTAACCACTTACTGAAATCCTGATTGGTGTGATTGGTGTCCGGAAACTGAAAAGACTATAAACTATATAGTGCAAAAGTTCTAACAATTCAGTTATCTCTTTTATTCTAATGGTGTAGTGCCTTCTAAAAACTGTGGTCATCCCAAATCTGTACACACGACTTCAACTTCTAAGAAAATAACAAGGCCATATATTGTCAGACTCGGTAGTGAGACACATAAGTGCAGAGATTACCGTCTGTATACATTTGCAGGTTATATAGAAATTAATTTAGCAATCTTTGTCGATCAACACACGTGTTGTCATGCACTTTGTAGGATTTCCCTTATCATGCAATCCTTTTACTTCTTGAGCATCCTCGTATGGGAAGCACAATCAGTTTCCTTCTTATAAATTAAATTAAATTGCTATTAGGAATGGAGTAAGTTGGCAGCAGTCCTACTGAGTATTCAGAATGCAAATAACTCAGTGATTAGATTACTTTAAAGAAAAGTTAGGTGGTATCCAATATATGTAAGAAAAAACAAAAACATAATATTGAATTTGAATTAGCACAAGCAAATATTTCAGAAACCACTTTTGACCATGCTAATCAATCAAATCAAGTCCAGTAATAAAATACACACAGACTTCTCTCCCTCTATCACTGAATTCTTTATATCAAATAATAAAACTGCATACATTTATATTTAAAGGAACACTCCAAGTAGCCACTACATGTTAATCTACTGGTTGCAGTACTAGAACTTGCCCCTGAACACATCAACCTTTAGTATAAGGCAGGATCCTTCAGCCATACATACATGCACCTTAAGCCAGACGGTGCTATAAAACAGTTAGATTCTATAATCTTCCCCGTTTCTGTGCAGGGTCTAGCATACACATTCATTCTTCCCTATAGGACAGCATTGTATTTAATGCTTTCCTATGTGCTTTCTCGTCACATGACTGAGTTTCACTCGGTCAGTGCAGCAGAAGCACTGCTACGGGCTAACAGTATGGGAATATTTTTCTAAAAATAAACTTTCTTGTAAAACCTTAAACTGTATTTCTTTTTCTCTGTGCTGTTCTTTGAAGGAACACTATAGGATCTGGAACACAAACGTATTCCTTTTCTGGCTTCCTATGACCTTAGCTTGTTTCTGACGTTTCTTGTAGTTATCTCTTTTATCCGGCCAATTTCAGGACCTGCTTAGGGACTTTCTTTCTGTCGCTGTTTCTACTGGTGGTTTTCACTCAGCGTGTTGGGTTAAGTATTACATTGACATTGTTATCTTCAGGACATGGAAAGCCAGACATATCTAAAATAAACAACATAAACCCCTTCAATATTCACAGCCTTAGCTAGAGCCTCACTCTGGATGGTAGGAACCATTGCCTAAAGCAGAAGAAGGTTGGAAGTTCCTTCTACATTTGGCATCTAATCTAATATATGACTGAGGTCATCGTGGTGCCTAATGTTGAACCGATGTAGAAATAAAGATATGAGAAGGACAGATGCTTAAGTAATGAAACATTAAGCCCACCACTACATCAAAACACTCCAATATTGGTGGGTTCTACTGTCATTTTAACAAGAAAGAGATAAACACTTTAACAAAAGAGAGAACCCCTCTGCATTACTTATTTTACTGCTTAAGTTCTTACATTAGTTTCTACTTCGTTGTGCATTCCTTTCAGAATACTTATTATAGATTACCTGTGTGTGAGCTTAACACGGTATGGGCATTTGGCAGGAACAAATGTTTAGATTTTTTTCTTGAGGATTGCATTTCAAATACCATTGAATGAATACCATTGGTTTTTCAGACACTTGCAAGAATTCATTTTTAGCATATTTATTTATTAGCAGAAATGCTTCAGTTTTATACATTTACATTATTAGCACCAACATATTCCGCACGGGATATTTAGAGGTAAAGAATGTCTTTCTCAAATGAGCTTACAATCTATGAGAATTTGACGTAGGCATATATATATATATATATATATATATATATATATATTTATTTCCAATGTATCACGGCACTCACCCTTAAATTTTTTTGCCTTGGTGCTACCAGCGTATAAAATATATAAATAACAAATAAAGAGGTGCACTCACAGGTCTTCTTCCAAACGTGAAGTTTATTCTGTTATTTCAAGGTTGTCCCAACGTTTCGACCCCTAAGGGCCTTTTTCAAGGTCAAATATAGAGTGTACATTTAAGCTTTATATACATAATAAATAATGACCAACTTACCAAATCAGGTGTGTGTGCTGCTGTCCCTCTGAACCCGGAAGTGCACGGTCGGGACGTGTGTGCACGCCTACGTGCGTGCCCGTGCATCTAGTATAGGTTGCTAAGCAACCGCTAAAAACAAACGTAAATACTAATAATTGTCATGCCGTGCAAAAAAAAAGGAAAACGAAGTATATTTACATAAATAACTAAATGAATGGAGGATTTTACGTTACTTTTTTTTATATATTTATTTATTTCACCCTAGAACCTGGCTCTGAACTGGACTGGAGTGAGAGGTGTAGGTTGTAGATACTGGGACGTGCTGTGCTCGGGTTAAAATATTGTCTCAAGTTTCATAAATAAATACTGGGGAGTACTCAGCTCAGACAAAAGCCTACCGAACATTTTTAAAGAACAACCTATTATTAGCTACAGGAGAAATAAAAATCTTAAAGATTTACTAGTCCGGCGTGATCCAGTACAATGCTATCAAAAAGAGAGAGGATGCAGGAAAAAAGAATGCTACAAATGTAGTTAATGTGTAACGTGTAGTCATATGATCTCAGGAACATCCTTTGTGCATCCACACAGCGGCAAAAGAATTCCAATATCCCAATATATCACATGCACTACGGATCACGTAATTTATTTAATTACATGTCCCTGTGGACTATGTTATGTCGGCAAGACTGACCTAACCCTTAGAGATAGAATAAGAGGACATCGCTCAGGCATCATGACTGCCTTCAGACACCAATGGACGGATAAACCAGTGGCCAAACACTTCTTAAAGGCTTCTCACGGACTTCCAACTTTACGATTTATGGCGATCGATCATATCCCTCCTTTACCCCGTGGAGGAGATAGATCAAAAGTACTGTTACAAAGGGAAACTTACTGGATACGCCACTTGGACACAGTAGTTCCCAAAGGACTAAACAAATATATTTCATATTCCATGTTTCTTTAAACAGCTTGCATGTTACATAGTTACATAGCTGAAAAGAGACTTGCGTCCATCAAGTTCAGCCTTCCTCACAAATGTTGTTGCTGTTGATCCAAAAGAAGGCAAAAAACCTGGTCTGAAGCGCTTCCAATTTTGCCACAAACTAGGAAAAAATTCCTTCTTGACCCCAAAATAGCAGTCAGATGTCTCCTTGGATCAAGCAGCTATTACCCCACTAATTAGAAATAATATCCCTGTATGTTATGTTTTTGTAAGTATTTATCAAATTTCAGTTTAAACATCTGTATGGACTCTGACAAAACCACCTCTTCCAGCAGAGAATTCGATATCCTTATTGTTCTTACTGTAAAAAAAACTTTTCTTTGCCTTAGATGAAATCTTCTTTCTTCCAGCCTAAATGTGTGACCTCGTGTCCTATTTATAGCTCTGTTTATGAATAGATAACATAGTAATATCTAGTTAAATATCTAATCAGAATAACTATTTAAACAAACAAAGGAAAGGATACACTTTGGTCACTAATGTAGAGTAATAATATAGGTCCAATAGCCTCGTTTAAAAGACATCTAACAAATCTCTCTCTTCTCCCATAGTATAGGTATATTTCTCTATCCCTCTTATATGGGAATTGAACTTAACAACTTCCCCTCCATTTAATGTATATATTAATAATATTGTAAGAACTACATTTTTCTTTAAAGTAGATATAATTTATTAATGTAAACATAAATATGCTTGCTCTACCTAGCTTTGGATAGCATCCCATATAGAATATACGTTGTACAAAAAGATTCTGTATTAAACATGTAGATACTTTCCAAGCATTTAGGCTTCACACCTAAACCTTGTATATTGTATATTAGGGTAAAACATATAACCCCTCCCCTAGACATCAGTCTCTGACAATCGTCCAGAAACTTGGGACAATATTTTAACCCAAGCACTGCACGTCCCAGTATCCACAACCTACACCTCTCACTCCAGTCCAGTTCAGAGCCAGGTTCTAGGGTGAAATAAGTAAATAATATATAAAAAAGTAACGTAAAATCCTCCATTCATTCATTTAGTTATTTATGTATGTATACTTCGTTTTCCTTTTTTTTTGTACGGCACGACAATTATTAGTATTTACGTTTGTTTTAAGTGGTTGCTTAGCAACCTATACTAGATGCATACGCACGCACGTAGGTTTGCACACACGTCCCGACCGTGCACTTCCGGGTTCGGAGGGACAGCAGCACACACACACACCTGATTTGGTAAGTTGTTCATTATTTATTATGTATATAAAGTTTATATGTACACTCTATATTTGACCTTGAAAAAGACCCTTAGGGGTCAAAACGTTGGGACAACCTTGAAATAACAGAATAAACTTCACGTTTGGAAGAAGACCTGTGAGTGCACCTCTTTATTTGTTATTTATATATATATATATATATATATATATAATATTAGTTGTCTTAATATCTTAGATGTTTAATGATTTTCCCTGTGTTAAGGTGACTGGACAATACTTTTACACAATGCGTCATTACTTCTGATTCCTCCTTGATTTCTCTGCCTTTAGGGGATACTTCCTTTTTTTTCACCACAAAGTCCAGAGCATTTTTTTATTTATTTATACTGCATCTATTGAACTCTTTCTAATTTAGTATTCTCATGCAAATATATTAACAAACAGCAATATATTTACAAACAGCAATATATATATATATATATATATATATATATATATATATGTTGTTTGTTAATAAATGAATAAAATGTATAAAAAATGGAAAGTAGGACTTTGTTTAACTATAATTATTAAACAAACAAAACACACACAGTTTTAAGTTTGGATTAAGGAAATGATTAGTCTTGGTTAATTTTAGATCAATGATGTCCAACTTATTCAGTATGGAGGACGTGCAATAAGAATAGTAGAAGTGTGGCATGCACTTGCTCAGTGCTACGCTTGCTGAGAAAACAAAACCAAAATATAGATGGAGCCACAACACTAGTCTTATGTCAACAATGAGTTCATTCCACCAACAAGTGAACCTGGAAACATTTTGACCCACACAGGGGTCATTGTCAAGCCTTGTGTGGCTTGGAATGTTGCCAACAAGCTTAAGTGCTTTAGGGTTTGAAGTGTTCATTTACATGAATTTATTTAAAAGTAAAAAGGGCACAAATAGGCACCCCACAGATTCTTAGAACATGTAGAACTAGTGTGATAGGCAGCAAATGTCCCTACTGAAGATCCTGAAGACTTCTGGCTCTAGGGATTAATTAATTTTTCTGCAATTCATTTACTGCCACAAATTAGAGTGGTCAGTTTCTGCTTCAACAGATGGCAGTGGTATAGTTAACTTGCAATGTCTGTTTATAAAAGATAGGCTGCGGGAGAGTTGGCTATGCAATTTTTAACCTCTTCTTGAGTTTAGAGAGCTTTTCATGGTGGTCACTTTAGTTAGGTATCAATATTTTCTCTTTACCTAGAGCAGGCTACAGGCAACTTAATCACTAAGAACCTCAGAGTTTTTCTTTTCATGAAGTCACATTGTATTTCCCACATTAAACTGGAATTGAGCTGGGAATAGCATAGCAGAAAAGTCCATAATTTATCATACAGAGTATTTGTTCAATCATTTGTGTGTTTGCTCAATGATTTCTGTAGTTTTTTTTTTGTTAGTTTGTTTTTTTGTGCATTACATGCAATAACACGTAGCCAACATAATATATACTACAGCCTGTTGCAAGTCGAAAGGAAAAGGGGTTATAAACAATATAATTAGCAAGTGGAAATTATTTAATAAACAGCCAGTTGTTCATAATGGACAAGGGACTTTTAAAATGTGACCACGCGGTTAATTGGAAAATACCTTTATCTATATTGGCTCTTCTGGCCAATGTTATGGCCAACGTTATGTAATTCATCTCTATTTACTGTAGTGGACTGTTTGGAGAATAAACCCTTGAATAAATATTGGCTAGACAATATTTCTTCAATGAATGACCAGAATATATAAGCTGTGACTTTCCATGAAAAGCCAAGTAATAGCTTCCCCTGCCTGTGCCTTTAATTACAGATCACGTATGTGGAAGACTGATTAAAGGATTAGACTCTTATCCAAACGTATTGTAGCTCTCATTTGTCCTTTGCAGTGTAGCCCTGTGTCATGTCTCTCAATGTCACGAAAATCCTTTGGAACTCAACAACAAAGATTTCTATTCATTACTAAGAAAAACTACATGAAGGTAACGTGACAAGACTCATTCACAAGGTCAAAACTTTGGAAATACCCAGTAATGGGTTCATTGACTTCCATATCTCAGCCAATTTCTTTTTTTCCATATGTTCTGAATCTGCTGTAAAATTTCTGCTTGGCACAGAAAACTGTTAATGCTGTTGCAGCAAACACTATTAATAGTATGTTTTAAATGTGTTATTTCAGTAATCTCTTTTTCCTACTAACTCACATTAATAGCTGATAGATAGACAGACAGACAGATAGATAGATAGATAGATAGATAGATAGATAGATAGATAGATAATATCTACCCATGATGAATTAAAAGCCAACCAAGGTACAGAATCAGGAAAGTCCTATCACTAGTGAAGAAAAAGCAAAACTATGATATTTTAACAATAAAATCTATCAATGTGTGTGCAAAGATGCAATTAATGTTTAAAACAAGAAAGTGATAGTGGTCCACATGGTCACATAGAATACAGAGGGAACTCTGCTCTCTTTTTGATCCCTGTTACAGTTGTGAGATAGCCCTGTAGCTCTGTACCAGATTATGGCAAGAAAAGTTTTTTTAAGCTATGGATGGGGCAATTCCTAGTTCTACGTTTGAGGATTCAAGTACATTGAATGCCAACAGGGGGCTTTTAGGAGAATTGTCCTGCCCGTATTTACTTCAGATTTTTATTTGCAAAGGGAAAGTTAAAGGGACATGCATCCCTGTGAGACAACTATATTATTCGAAAGTTTTTTGTTTTGAACAACAGTTTCTTTCTTCAAGAAGAAAAGCAGGCAACAAACAATAAGGTACAAAAAAATTAAATCATATATACCTGCTTCTTCTTGCTCGCTCTTTCTATGCCCACTCCAGGAGGGACATGATCTAACCAATCAGAGTCTTGGAGTGAAGCAGAGACGTCCATAGAGACTGTCTGTTTTCAAACACCGTCTGACCCAAGGTGCATGTATATGGCTAAAGGATCCTGTCACATACTAAAGGTTGGGATTAGTTTTTCGAATTATTTTTTTTCAAGTACTTTATTTAACACAGAATCTATCTCCTATCAAAACTTGATGAACGGATCATTATATTAAAAAAAAATAAAAAAAATTTACATGACAGTTGCCCTTTAACAGAATACAATTTACTTAGGACCAGAGAATAGGACATCTACTGTTCATTCATTATGGTGTGCACAACACCCTTCTATTTACCATCTACATTATTCCCACCTCTAATTCTTGAGCTTGGTAAGGGAAGGTGGGTAACTATTGGCAAACGTTGCAATCTGTTACATACCCCCTAACATTGAAAATGGACAAAAAAAAAGAACACTGTAATTTTAGAGGTGGGCTGTTCTATGGCATACGAATAACAATTTATTTACACAGATTGATTTCTACACACATTTATTTTAGTTCAAAGACACATTACTGTGAGTTTTACACTCAGATACACCAACAAAATAGAACTCATAGAAAAGAGGGTCATTAGGATATAAAGGGAGTAATTTGGGTCCAAAATAGGGAATGCCCTTTCTAAACAGGGACAGTTGGGAGGTATGTGTGTACTGCACACATTCACATGGGGCAGGGGAAGGAGTGGGCGACCTAAACATGGAAAGGAGCGCCAGGCTGCTACTGCACTGGATCTGATAACCTATTCATGTGCTTTTACTGTGCCTTCAAGTATATTCAAATATAGTTATGGTTATTACATATTATAATGCTAATATTTTCCTTCACATCTGAAAGTAATTTGACTGCTCTTCACCATTCTTAGAAACACGCACAATAACGCAAGTCATACAACAAATGTCCCTAAATAATCAGTAGACAATACAAATTTATGAACAAACATAACAAGGAACAGAAAGGGGTGCAAATGAGAGCAGGAGAAAGAAGTTGCATGTTCAAAAAAAAAAAAAACACAGGGAAAACAGGGAATAGGCAAATGGAACCTTTAAGAAACATTACCATGTCAGGTAAAAGTGACTGCAATTTGTTGCAGCATTAGAATTTTCCAAATTTTAAAAATGTAAATTCTAGGACATTGCCCAAACTAAAACCGATGGTAAACCTCAAGTTTGGCTTACTAGCTGCCTAAACCCACCTACAATAAAAATAGTATTGTCATTAACATACATGAAATATTAAATGTTGAAAAATCCCTACAATGAATATCATTGCAAAGCTAGTTACTTAGTTCTATGCATCTTTTTCAGTTGAAGTCTGACACTTCTTGAATTTTCACATTTTGTTCTGTATCCAGTGCTCCTTATCTACATATAGCACTTTACATCCTTCAGAAATACCCATTCCCTTCACATCACATACACATTTTCACTGTACCATTTTCATATACAGTTTATTCTGATCTATATTTGTCTTCACATCAGATTCTCTGCCATGTGTTTTATTTGTCCTGTTATTATTTGTCAAATGTATACAGATAAATCGACATATGCACTCCCAGTAAGGTACTGCACACTTTAAAATACATGTATATATTCAATAAATATTATCCATGGGGAAACAAAAATACATGTATATGCAGGAACACTGCACAGAGTCGCACAGACAAACTTAAAAGTATTTTGTACTTCCTCACCTAGAATGCCAGATAAAAGGAATACTAGTAGACTTTGAATACACTGGATGTTCTATAAAAATTTAAGCTCATCTGTGACGGTACCTACAACTTATGCTCTTTTGAAAAGGCATAACATTTAATTTATACATTGTACTAGCAGATTTGCTGGCCAATGTGTAGATTGGGGGAAAAACCTATTTATAATATAGGTGTTTTCATGATCTGTCAGTCAATTCCTTAGCATCAACAGGGTTGATGTTCCAGGAGGGATACGGCAAATGGCAAATGATTTAGGTAAACTAGAAAAATGGTCAGAGCTGTGACAGCTGACATCTAATGTGGATAAGTGCAAGATAATGCATCTTGGACGTAAAAACCCAAGGGCAGAGTACAGAATATTTGATACCCTACTAACGTCAATACCTGAGGAAAGGGATTTATGGCTGATTATTTCTGATGATTTAAAGTTAGGCAGACAATGTAATAGAGCAGCTGGAAATGCTAGCAGAATGCTTGGTTGTATATGAAGAAGTATTAGCAATAGAAAGAGGGAAATGCTCATACCATTCTACAGAACACTGGTGAGACCTCACTTGGAGTATTGTACGCAGTACTGGAGACGGTATCTTCAGAAGGATTTTGAAACTTTAGAGAGAGTTCAAAGAAGGGCTACTAAACTGGTTCATGGATTGCAGGATAAAACTTACCAGGAAAGGTTAAAGGATCTTAACATGTATAGCTTTGAAGAAAGACGAGACGGGGGGATATGATAGAAACATTTAAATATATAAAGGGAATCAACACAGTAAAGGAAGAGACTATATTTAAAAGAAGAAAAAACTACCACAACAAGAGGAGTCTTAAATTAGAGGGGCAAAGGTTTAAAAATTATTTCAGGAAGTATTACGTTACAGAGAGGCTTGTGGACGCATGGAATAGCCTTCCAGCTGCAGTGGTTAACACAGTGAGGGAGTTTAAGCATGCATGTGATAGGCATAAGGCTATCCTAGACTTAAGATAAGGCCAGGGACTAATGAAAGTGTTTCCAAAATTGGGCAGACTAGATGGGCCGAATGGTTCTTATCTGCTGTCACATTCTATGTTTCTAGACTTTACGTCGAAGAATTAACTGACAAGGGAGGGCAGAAAAGACCTTCCACAGACAGTACTTTTGCTCTCCTCTGATTGCAACCACAGTGCATGACCAGGTAGAGTAGAGGTGGGTTTTATTGAAGAGTAACACCCATTAAAATGAGGACATGGCGGTCCTCATTTTATAGAGGAAATGGGATATTCGGAGTGAATGTGCTGCAATATCTTTGTCACCTTATCTTATGGCACCATAAGATTTACATCAGTTTTTACCCACATATTTCTATTTTCTATGATAAATGCATCACTTTCCTTTGGCATCATGTTTGGTCTCTCTCTAACCCTTCTATTAACTGTATGAGACAATATATGAAATTTTTCTCACTCAAGCATCCAGTTCACAACTACAATGCAAACTAGACTGTTGCACCCATTTATTGCGCCAAAACTGTTCCAATACAATTCAGACACAATTTAGTGTTTAGTAATTATACAACATACTAAACCTCGCATGAACATCTGATGTTTACTTCAACAGACACTGTTAAAATATTGCAAATTGCAAAACCTACCAGTTTTCTAATTGCTTTTAGTAACTTCCAGTAATATATTTTTTTTTCAATCAAATTTGCCTATTATATAAGAATTTTGGTGTAGAATGTACATTCAGTTCTTAGCGGATAACTAATAATAAACCAAGTAGTCACTAAAATACAGTGCCAGGTCCCTCACCCCTGCACCCTCACTCAGCAGGTAGGTCTTCAAATTAAGTGGGTGATTGGACAGATCACTGTGCACCCCCTGTGCCTTCCCCAACCAGCAGGTGGACTCTAATAATATTAATACATTTTTGATTCTTCCCGTAGTGGCATATTTTAAGGACATCAGTAGATTATACTTTATCCACAACCAAACCATAGTCAATCTGGGATGTATGGGCAAGCCGGGATAAAACATATACGGTCACCATACACCTCAGTGATCATGGTCTTTATCTCTCTGTATGATGCTGTGGCGTTTGTATTTTGCTTCATAAATTACTTACAAAGATAAGATACATAACCATTCTTCTGAAAATTCACACTCTCTACAAATTACTTAGATCATTGTGACCTTTTTTTTTTTGTTTGTTTTGATCGAGCATACTTTCCGAGTTTGAGTTTTTTTATTTGTTAGTATATGGTTTCGTACAATAATTATAATACATATAATCTGAGGCAAACATACTTGATATGTCAATCAAAGTGCAAATTCATTCAAATTCATCTTTAGAAACTTTGTTGCATCAAGAAATTTCTGTGCTATTCCAGGTTTACAGAGGCAGAAAACTTGTGTATCTTTCTAAAAGGAACACTATAGGGTCAGGAACACAACCATGTATTTCTGACCTATTGTGCTAAACCCACCATTAAGGTGGCTTTCCCCCCCTTAACCCCTTTAAAAACTTTAAAACTCACTTTATTTCCAGAATCAGAATTGCTGATTTTTAGCCGATCCAATGCTTTCCCACGGGGAAAGCATTGGGTCGGCTAAAATCAGCGAGGGGCAGGGCCAAATGCTGTTTTGGCGGGTCAGCACCTCCTCATAGAGATGCATTGAATCAATGCATCTCTATGAGGAAAATTCAGCATCCACATGCAGAGCGTGGAGACGCTGAACAGCACTGCTGCCTACTGTGCAGCACTGAGCCAGGAAGCACCTCCAGTGTCCATCTGAGGAGTAGCCACTTGGAGGTGTCCCTAGGGGGCAATGTAAACACTGCTTTTTCTTTTCTTTTCTTTTCTGAAAAGGCAGTGTTTGCATGAAAATACCTGCATATAATGCTTATACTCACCACAACAACTACATTAAGCTGTAGTTGTTCTGGTGACTATAGTGTCCCTTTACGTTTGGACTGGTAGCAAATAAAAAATACTGTTAGTGGTGGTTTTTCTATACTTAATCTGGGTGTGCATTTTCTTTCTGGTGAATTTTCTGCGTCTTTTGACATACCTTGTGATGATTCTTGGTCTGACATTTTGGTTGCTCTTTTTAATCTTAGCATATAAAGTCTATGACATGTTATATGGTAGAAAAAAATAGTCTCTTGGGGACATGCACTAAAGTGAGAATTAAAAGTGAATTTTAAATTTAAGGCCACGCTAGCCAAAATGAAATCATAGCGAAGTAGAGAATTTCTCAAATTTGGCCATTTTGACATGAAATATTAAATTAACTATGAAACAAACTTTAAATTCTCATTTTAGTAAATAATGTTGTCTATTTCTAAAAGTTCACCATCATTTAACAGAGATCAGCAAATTTGCTTTTGGCAAATTCAATTCTGTCCCCTACTTTCTCGCTCCTGTGATTTGCACAGAACACAAGAACTAGTTTCAACAAAGTATTTTCTCTTCTTCTTTTGGGGAGACCATTGTCACGGGGTCCATTTTTATTTTATTCAAATACAGCTCAAAAATTACCTGAAACAGAAAATAACAAGAATTCATTTATTATTTTATGCTTGCTAGCGAAAAAATGATATATAAAATTCCTTTACAAAAATGAATAAAGCAGTCCTTATAAGAGTTTAGCTATAATGTCCATGTTAACCATCTGTCCCTTTTTCAGAGGCAATCTCTAGTTCTGGCTGCATGTCCTGCTATCCTGCTGTACTGGCATTTATCCCAGCTTTTAAACTGGCATTCTAACCCCATACACCAAGTAAGCAGTCCTCTGGGGCAGTACATTATGTGCCTGTCAGTAAAGAGACAGAAAACTTTCCTCATTTCAATAAATATGAAATACTGAATTTGTATCATTTAGTATTTAGGTGTCATAATCTTATATCTGATAATGAAGCAAATATATTTATAAATTATTCCTAGGGTTTATTTTGACCCTTAATTACACAGATCTCCCAACATGTAATGACTATGGGCCATGTGGTATCCATTATCACCTAAGTAGCAACGAATTACTGAACCATGGTCATCTAACGAGAACATTCTAAGTTAGAACATTTGTCTATCTTAGCTATTTTCTGACTTGGTTATTTATTTATTTTATTCTGTAACTAAATAAATAAATATTTAATATTTAAATATTACCAAAACACATGGAAAGACTTATTTTACTTACGAAAAGTACACAATGTTGTCAAATTTCAAAAATCTATCTCCATTCTTGACATTCTGCATAGTGTGAACTATAAATGAATGTTTATAGTAGCCTCACCCTTTAGGTTCAGTTTATCTATTCTGCCATGCGATGGGTAACAAATAGATCTTTCGATCTGTTAGCTTTAAGTTCGTTAGTGTAAATCTCCCCTAGCCTACTCTGTAACTGAGATATTGAGTGCTATAATGGTCATAATTTGGTCTGAGAGTACTAACTCTTTAAATATTATATAGATGAAAATAAAGAGTAAAATCATGTTGCAACTTGCAGCATTTTTTACTATCACTGTTACTAAAGATTAATACTGTAATTTCTAATTGGATTAATTGAGGCTTAAGTGTGAAGTGGATATCCCATCTGCACAGTGGATGCTATTTTCTTTTAATTATTATATTTGTAAGTATAATATTGGTTTCTACCCATATATATTTAATGCTTTTAAATTTATAAGTGAACATATTCAGTAACACTTTTGAGCTGGCATAGTGTTGATTGGGTTCATCTCGATTGGTTTAAAAAAAATAAAGGGGAAGTGGGGGATAAACAAAAAACACAACCTTAAAACTAAAAGAAACTGGGAACTGAACTTGTTTCACATCCTCAGTTTCTTTTTGTTTTAGTTTTGTTTTTTGTTCTCCCCTCCTCCTTTTTTTGATTCCCAGTGCAGGGATGTGTTGTTTTTTTCAGTAAGTTCTTTTGCGTTGGGTACCCAACGTCCTTTTTAATAGTGGAACGCATGTTGTGCTCCACAAAGACCTATAGGAAGTGAAGATTTCACCACCCCGACCTGCGAAAATGATGCGATAGTAAGGCAAGTGGAATGATATACAGAAAGAGGAAGTGACGCAAATACGGAGCACCTCAATGAGAACATGTGGAACACACAGTGCATTTCTGAAGGAGGAAAAACCATGGGAACTTAAGTTTTGAAGGTATAAAGGACTGTGAAGGGATTCTAAAAAGGCTATAAACCAACTGAGGAAGCCGAATTTAACGAAACACGTTTTAGTGACTGTGGCGGGACCACTGCCTTTCTGTCAATTGTCTTTCTTTGTATTATGCATGTTTCCCCATCCTTTCTTTTATTGTACCCACTCCCCATTCGAGAGGTCTTCCACGAAGGGAATTCATTCTCCTTCCGAATGGGGACCACCCCGGTACCTCATTTAGAATGTTAGGTTACAATGTTCGTACCTCGCAACATAGGTGTCAAACCGCAAAGGGAAACAGTAAATGAGTGCTTCCCTGGGTGGCAGCATTCGTGGATTGTTTTCCCGACTTGTTCGTCTCACGAACGAAGACCTCCCCGGTGCCCCATTAGAACATTTGCACCAATTAATCAGAACGTTCACACTCGCAACACAAGTGTGAAACCGCAAGGGAAGTAATTAATAAGTGCTTCCCTGGGTGGCTGCCGTTTTGTATAGACGAATGCTGTCCAGGGGAGCATTCATATCCCGAAAGGAGTAGCTTTCCTTGCAGGGTTTCACCCAGTGACCTTGCGAGCGGAGACTGGGCAAAGAAATGTACCACTGTGAGGGTCCCTGGGGTTGGTGTGGACACTTCTGGGGCACTGGCTAGGTTGGCGGGCTTGGATGTTCCTGCGGAAATTAGCAGAGGTAACCAATTGGGTTACTCATGGTCTGCTACAGTGACTAGACTTATTGGACTCAAGCATTATTGCTTTATTTATTTTATTTTACTTTTAAGAATAAATTGTGATTTCTTTTCACCCATCCAAGAGTCATCTATTTCTTCAAGAGAGGGAATATTTTTGCTCCACATGGATCTTACGAGGTGAGGATCTCCCTAACTATACACACCAGAGCCAGATGACTGTATATCTCTTTATTTGTGAGTGAATCCTTATTACATGATATAAATAATTTTGGCATAAAGGATTATCTGCACTATTTGTCCCTCTTCTTTGCTTCTGCAGAAACAGAGACAAAATAAGAATAGAGGAAAGTATTTATTTATATGTTTTTTGTTTGCTCCACCCAGTGTATACTTTTTTTTTTCTTTTGAATGAGGTACTGCTGTTTTGTGAGAATTTTCAGCTCTGGACATTTGCCTGCCTCTTTAGCTTAGTGGAGCTAAACAACAATGAACAGAAACAGTTGTCTGATTGACAGTCAAGGGGTGTAACAATGTAAATTTCTACTGAAATCTGCAGTTTTTTTAAAATAAAAAAAATACACTCTGCACACATGACGCATTTCAGCAAACTGGAAGTCTGGAGTGTCCCTTTAAAGAGACTCTATAATGTCAAAAATATTATGGTGCTAAAGCTTTTCTATGTGTATAGAGCTAGCTACATATATAATTACTGTATCAATGGAAAGTTATTTTACTTTATGTATCTATTTGTACATTTCCAGTGCCAGTGATGGCAGGTTCCTCTGTTCCTCTGCACCCAATAAAGAAATTTTACAAAAATAGACATTTTCTGGGACAAACAAATTTTGGCCATATGTTGTCTCGGTTCAAGAAAATTTTGGTACTGAAAACCCAAACCAAAACAGACCAGTCAGTGCACTGCACAATAAATGAATAATGTAATATTATGTATATATTTTGACACTGATAGGTGCAATTTTGTGCTATCTGGTTCAGAAATCAATTGAGAAAACGTAATGGGGAAAGCACAGTACAAAAACCACAACATTTATATACGAATTATATATTTATAAGCTACATATAATATACAAATATAGATTTTTTTTCTTCCCTCTATTGCTCACTTCTTACATAATCTATGAATACAATCAACATTTATTGACTATCCCCTAGCCATCAATCCTTTTTTTCCCCATCAATAATCTTTTTTCTGGTGCCATGGGCTGAATTCAGAATTACAGATCAAAACGAAGATGTTCAGACATTGTGCAGCTTGTTTAGTTCATGATTAAGGTACATTTTGGTTCAGAGTTTAGGAAAGTGATTGGTTGCTCGATTGTCCTAAATTTGGAAAAATTCCGCTTTGGACTGAAACAAATCTCCAGGAGTAATGCATATAACAAGCACACGTGTAGCCACACATGCCCAAAGATGCTTTTAGGGATGTTATGTACATAATTTGGGTAGGCAGTGGAGGCACAGTCAGCCACATATATTTACAGCAGTCAGCCTGGTTAAGGGAATAACAAATCCTTAGCTAAGTGCGACTTTAAAGCGGCACTGTCATGCCAAACTTACCTTTCCCCAATCGCTTCCTCTTCTCTCCCTCTCTCAGGATTTGTTCTTCTTTTCTTCCTGTCTTCTCTAGTTTTCTTTAAAGGAGTTTTCCCACAATTCTCACCTGATCTCGCTATGCTTCCTTTAACTATTTCCCAGCACCCTGTCATATAGATAGGATGCCGGAGAAACTACAGAATTCCATCCTTAGTAAATAGCTCCCTAATTCCCACGATATTAGGGATCTCTCTACCAAAAGGCTGAAAGACCCAAACTGGTCTAATGTGCGTGCACGGCATTGCAAGGTACAGAGAAAAACAACTTAAATAGGGAAGATATTATAGTATGTATATTACAGAAATGTCCAGATTATAAAGTCCAGAGGTTGGAAAAGCACAACACTAGTATTCACATATGGATGCAAGTTAGCCAGGGGTGGTATCCGGAAGTTCAGGCAGGATTCTTCTATGGGGATGTTAGAGTTGATCAACAATGGATTTGTATGTGGAAGAAGAAAGGAGATGATTGTGCAATATATTCTAACATAGAGAGTATAAAATGAATAAGATATGGTCCTACTCACGTTTTATGGAGCTAGAACTAGTGTGCAGTGGTACAATCCCCACTTTAAAGGATACGTGAATATAGCTTCTCGGTTGTGTGAGGACCATAAATTATAAAAAGAAATGACAAATAGTGTTCACAGTTTAAAATAACAGGAATATACATAGTGAATATTGTATGCACTTGTTCCAGAGCAGGCAAACTGCTCTATGGATAGGGCGTGGGTGGAATAATCCCCACCAAGGATATAACTTGGAAGTGATGTTCACTGGAAATAAAATCAGGTGCCAGGCAGTGCAAAGTAAAAATAATAACATAGTAGCAAAAATGTAAATGTAGAATAAAAAAAGAGTTAAAGTAACCAAAATACCTTTATTTATACATAATAAAATATCCAAATAAAAACCAAAACGCGTTTCACCTTAAAAGGCTTTTTCAAGTGGAGGTAAGGAAAAAACTGACCTGGCTAGTTCAGGTTTATATAGGGAGAAAATAAAAGAAAAAAATGAAAAGGGTGAGAAATATTTGCCTCCTGTCGTTAATAAAATTAAAATTATAGGTACACTTCGTTAGCATAATCTACAATTTTATCACATAACAGGAGGCTTCATATTGGCAGTTTTGATGCTGAGAATTTAGAAAAGTGAAAGAAACATGAGAGGACTGTCTGAAGAAAAACACACCGAAGTGTGGAACGCTCACGAAGTCGCAGCTCTGCGAAGCGAGTGTGCTCTGAAGCTGGAATCTATCCCAGCCAAAGACAAAAGCCAGCGAATCAATCAGGTCAGATTTGTAGTTGAGACTGGCTTATGGGGTCTAACATATGACACCAAAAGTTAGCCGAAGGGGCAGCCCGTAAGGGTGCCATAACCTCGACATATCGTAAAAGCGTGTCCACAACACACAATCAGGGGAACACTTGAAAAAACGGATATGAAATGGAGGAAGAATCCAATTTCGCACAGCGTGACATATGAAAGGAGACACCATCCAGGGAAAAGAAAAACCCATCCACGTCAAACACCCAAACATCCGAAACACGTCAAAATTAGCTGAGGCATAACAGCATCGTAAGTTTGCAGAATGCTGACGCAGACACAAGCCCAAATGATCTGGCCAATCTTGAAGAAAGCGCAGCACCAAATCAACGTCCCAGAGACAAGGATATTAGGTGTGGGAGGCCTTGATAACTTGATCCCCCTCAAAAGGCAACAGACCATAGCGTCCTGCCCCCAATTACTCCAAGCCTTCCAGGCCGACACATAGCATCGTAACAGGGTTGATGTTCCAGGAGGGATAAGCCAAATGACAAATGATTTAGGTAAACTAAAAAAATGGTCAGAATTGTGGCAACTGACATTTAATGTGGATAAGTGCAAGATAATGCATCTTGGACGTAAAAACCCAAGGGCAGAGTACAGAATATTTGATAGAGTCCTAACCTCAACATATGAGGAAAGGGATTTAGGGGTGATTATTTCTGATGACTTAAAGGTAGGCAGACAATGTAATAGAGCAGAAGGAAATGCTAGCAGAATGCTTGGTTGTATAGGGAGAGGTATTAGCAGTAGAAAGAGGGAAGTGCTCATGCCATTGTACAGAACACTGGTGAGACCTCACTTGGAGTATTGTACACAGTACTGGAGACCGTATCTTCAGAAGGATATTGATACCTTAGAGAGGGTTCAGAGAAGGGCTACTAAACTGGTTCATGGATTGCGGGATAAAACTTACCAGGAAAGGTTAAAGGATCTTAACATGTATAGCTTGGAGGAAAGACGAGACAGGGGGGATATGATAGAAACATTTAAATATATAAAGGGAATCAACACAGTAAAGGAGGAGACTATATTTAAAAGAAGAAAAACTACCACAACAAGAGGACATAGTCTTAAATTAGAGGGACAAAGGTTTAAAAATAATATCAGGAAGTATTACTTTACTGAGAGGGTAGTGGATGCATGGAATAGCCTTCCAGCTGAAGTGGTAGAGGTTAACACAGTAAAAGGAGTTTAAGCATGCGTGGGATAGGCATAAGGCTATCCTAACTATAAGATAAGGCTAGGGACTAATGAAAGTATTTAGAAAATTGGGCAGACTAGATGGGCCGAATGGTTCTTATCTGCCGTCACATTCTATGTTTCTATGTTTCTATGTTTCTATGAAACAGTTGGAAAGACCTTTGGCTAGGCTGTATACTGAAAACGATCCTGTGATCACTTCCAGGCAGTTTATGTGTAACCCGGTCTCTTCTTCTGAGCAGACCCCCATGGAAGTGGTCGTGCAATGAGCCCCCCAGCCCCAAAGGCTGGCGTCCGTTTCCACTATGAGAGGGGTATCAAGTGGTTGTATGAGTGACCCAAACAAAAAATGTTTTGCCTTCAACCTTTACATAGCCCGGTAGTATAGAGGTCCCGGGAAGATTGCCTGTATCAAGTAAGATAGAAGACCCACGGTCCGGGCGACGAGTCGCAGGGGGACCATATCCATACATGGGATCCATAAGATCTCCTTCCAGATGGATGCTATCTTCACAAGATAGTCTCAGAACGCAATCCCTTGAGTCTATCTCGAAGCTGAGGAATTGTATGACCTGGAAATGGGAGAGAGCTGACTTATGTCTGTTCACCCTGAAGCCAAAAGACTCTAGAAAGTGAACAACAAAATTTGTCTGTGATTGCAGTCTGGATACTGCGTCGCAGAAGATCATCAGGTAGTCCAGTTATACAGGGCAACGGATGCCCCTGGAGGTGGGGCATAACCGACTTCAGTAGCTTTGTGAAGCACCACGGAATGGAACTGAGGTAGAATGGCTGGCACATAAATTGGCACGTCCGACAGCCCTAGACGAACCATAGAAAATGACAACTCGCTTTATTCGCTTCCTTAAGGTCAAGGCAGGTAAACCAGTCGTTGGCCAGCAGTAGATGTATTCCTTCCATTTTGAAATGTCTGTATACTACGTAGTTGTTGAGCTGGTAGAGATTGATGACTGGCTGAAATTCTCACAACATTTTTTGACCAGGAAGATGTTGCTGTAGAAGCCCCAACCATCTGGGGCGAATTGCACAGCTCCTTTGGTGAATAGAGAGTGGATCTCTTTGTCTATGAGGAGCCTGTGGTTTCATGAGACATGCAATGGAAGTGACTGGGGGGTTTGTACGGGGCAAGAGTGGAACTCAATGGTATACCCCTGTACCGTCTGAATGATCAATGTGTCCGCCATGATCTCCATCCAGTTCTGTAAGAAGAGAAATAAACTGCTAGTGATAACTGTAGTTATAGGAGTACTTAAGGTGGGTCTCACCTGAAGATTAGCATCCGCGACCTCTGCCTTTAGAGCCTCTTGCCCGATCAATGCCTCTATGGTAGGAGATTCTCTATGTGTATGTCGGGTAGAAGGATGGAGCTTGTGAGGAGGACCTGTGTCCAGTAGACCAAAATCGGCTGGTGGCTTGGCCCCTCTGGTTTTTGTGACCCTACTGGTTCTGGTTGGGATAGTGCCTGTAGCAGGGCTTTCTCAACTGAGGCCGCGACAGCTGCTTTAATCATAACCTGAATCCCTTGCGTTGGTGGGGGTGTGTCGCCCATAATGGTTGGCTTGCCTGTTAAGGACAGCGAAAATCAGTGGGTGCATGATAAGAGGATACACACGCTAAGGTGCCAGGCTCCTAGTACAACTGGGGCACACCCAGAGATCGGCTTCACAGTGTAGCCATCTATTGGTGGTAATGCCAAGAAGAGGGGTTCACCCTCTAGGTGTATGAGAGGGGGTTTCCCTGAAGTGAAAAGAGAGACGTGTGAGTCTCATAATTGTGGGAGTCGATCCCCATATTAATTTCCCCTCTGGGGTGGTTTCCAAGGGGTTCCCTTGAATATGTTGCCAATGAAGATGTATTGTCGAAGGGGTTCACCCTAGTTGTATGTCAAGGTGTACAGCATGGTTTGATATTTATATCACAAGATATCCTGACAAAAAAGGGGGTTACCCCTGTATATGGGAGTAAGATGAAACACCTGAAATGATATCTGGGGGCTTACCACCACCAAGATGACTGCTGTTACAAAACATTGTGATGACCATGCCACAACCAAGATGGCTGCTTCTGCACAACTTGCTATTTCCACCACCAAAATGGCTGCTGCCACATCCAAGATGTCTTCCACTACTCTTAAAGCTGCAACATACAATCTCACTATGCCACTTGAAATGGCTGAAGATTTGCCACGATCAGCTGGCATTTTAATTGAACTTATCCAAAACTTTAGAGTGGACCTAAAAATGACTTTAAAAAACTATTTTGAGAGAATCTATTGAGTTATGGAAAGAATTAACCAGCACACAGAGGAAGTGGAAAATAGATTGCACTTCCAAGAACAATCTCATTTGGACTTGGTAGACACAGTAAAAGCGCCTCAAAAATAGGTAAACCAACAGGCGGATAAGTTACTGAGGATAGAAGTAGGCGCATACTGAGGATAGAAGTAGGCGCAATAGTTGAAGGATCAGAGGGATCCCCGATAATGTTGACACTGCGGAACTACCTAATTATTTTCAAAATATGGTACGGGTAGTTAAACCGACTGCCACTAACTCGGAATTATTGCTGGAACGTATCCATAGGCTGCCCAAGCTGCAACCAAGGATGTAATAGTGCGATTTCACTATTATCACATAAAAGAGGATTTCTTGAGTGCAGTGGGCATGTCTGGCCTCCCCGGGGATGATCACAACATGAAAGTCTTCCAGGACTTTTCAGCCCCCACGATGAGATGGTGAAGGGAGTTCCAACCTTTTATGTCGGAGTTGAGGTATAAGGTACAGGTGAGGATTCCCTGTTAAGGTACTTTTTGTACGTATGGGCAAAATTTTAGCATCATGTCGCCCAAGGAGGGAATGGAAGTTCTTAACTCTATGAGCAGACGTCCTGTACCATCCCATATGCTTTTACCATCTGTGCAGGCCAGCAAGAGGAGTAAACCGGATGCTTTATAATGACGAACACTGTTCCTGAGTTCCTGATTTACGAGTTCCAGTCTACCGAGTCCTAGTGTTCAAATTTTCTGTTCACACCCCGCTTGATGGATTGATTTAATGTGTGACATATTTCACTGCTGCTTTTGCTTTTATTTATATATATATATATATATATATATATATATTTATTTCCTGGCCATATCCATGGCAGCACAACGATGGGTAGCTCCTCCCTATCCCTAGTTAGACAGGAACTAATTAAAATAAATGTATAAGTACCTCCTCCTATTCCCTCCTCCCTCAGTCTTTTTGTTCCTGTCCTATCCCTATAGGACATGTGTTTTTCCTTGGAACTATTATTTTTCTTTTATGGCTTACCTGGGGTTTTGTTCCCCTGGCCCCTTGGGAGTTCAGCCTCTCTCCCTTGGGAAGTGTCCAGTTACACGGCCCTGCACAAAGGTGACCCCCCTGGAGAGTACCCCTTTAGTGATCGGGGGTCTGGTACTTGCTGTAACCCAAGGGGTAGCAAGCTATTATGCCTGGTTCCCTAATGCTGCAGTGACCCTAGGGGTAGCAGTGGGCCGGTGAATATGGACTGGACGTGTACCTTGCTGGTCTGGACTTCTTCCTGTTTCCGGCTTCCCTCTGCCTTTTCCGCTGTCCTTCTGAGGGATAAGTCCCTGTGCTTTCTTTCATTTTCACTTGGCGGTCGTATGAATTTTAGCTGTTCGTATAAATTCTGGTGAACGTTTGTTTGTTCACATGAATGGCTATTTCGCCTGTTCGTTCGTCTGTAAATTCGTCTGTAAATTCGCCTGTTTGGTAGTCTAATTCACACAGGTGAAAGCTCTGTGTATGATTTCAGATGCCTATTTAACAGCCCCCTGGTTCTCACACTCATAGGAATCATTCTGGTGAATGCTGCATTGCTTCCTCCTATCTCCTGCTGGATTTTCGTTTCGTTTGCTTTTCCTTAAGATAAATGTCTTTTTATTTTTTTAAAGTGGTATCCTTCAATTTGTTCTGAATTTCAATTTGAGATTCTTTCTTGCATTTGGTTCTTCAGATGGATATGGAAGTCTCAAATTCTTCTGATTCTAATTCTTCCCCACCTCACAATAGGTCACAACCTAAGTTTTGTAGGTAAGCCATGTTTTTTCTGGCTTGATTTATCTGGTATTTAAAAGAGTGCGGATCACTGATACACTGTTCTATCCCTATTTCTGCAGTTCTAAGGGGAAGTGTCGTCCAAAGGGAAGTCGCCCAGAAGGACACAATGTGTATCCTGTGATAACAGAGCCCTGGAGGGGAAACGTCTCTGTTTTTCTTGCCTATCTGTGGCTTCAGGCCCATCTCAAAGGCAGTCCTCCATCCAACCTGCGCCTGACATAATGCAGTATATTTCACAAGCAGTCGCTCTGGGCATTCAGGAAGCTGGGAAGTCCCGCTAGCGACAAAGGTGTTTGGAACCTTTGGAGTTTTCTCCAGACGTCTCTGATGTGGAGTGTGGAATCCCTGAGAGATTTGGGTTCTGAGGATGATGTGCTTCCAGCTCCAGATTTCCTAGAACCTGCTGAAATTGACCATTTGATATCCAGGGTCCGCAAGACTCTCAGTTTGAAGGAATCTTCTAAGGATGAGCCTTCCACATCCAGTCGCCACTTCTCTGACCTCAGCAGGAAGAGGGTGACTTTTCCAGTCCATGAGACTATAAAAGACCTCATCAAGGAGAAATGGTCCAGATTGGACAGAAAATCGGACAGAAAATCCTCTGCAAAAGGAAGATTTTCCAGACTGTATCCTTTTGAGGACGCTGACGCTGAAGCGTGGGATTCCTCTTCCAAGGTGGATGCGGCCGTGGTTGGATTGGCCAAATGTACCACTTTGCCTGTTGATGATGCAGGTTCCTTCAAAGACCCTATGGACAGAAAGATGGAATTCAGTCTTTCCAAAGCATATCTGGCTTCAGGTACTGGCCTGCATCCAGCAGTGGCCCTTATGTCAGTATCCAGGACACTTAAGGTTTGGATGGAGAATGTGGAGGAGGATATTAAGAACGGCAGGAGCCGTCCCTCCATACTGGACAGCCTGAAGGATCTGAAATTGGCTGTTGACTTCTCATCTGAAGCTGCGGTGGATCTGGTAAGGTCCTTAGCCAGAAGTATGGCTCTTTCAGTTTTGGCCAGGAGAGCGCTATGGCTCAGATCATGGTCTGCTGATGCCTCCTCCAAAGGCAGCTTGTGCTCCCTTCCTTTTCATGGCGACATGCTATTCGGCAAGAATCTGGATGATTGTATTAAACGAGCAGCCGAAGGTAAAAAGGCCTTTCTGCTTCAAGACAACAGGCCCAAAGGTTCCTTTCGTGCAAAAAGGGATCATTACCCATTTCGTGAAAGAAGATTCTACAGACTGGGTAAGGAATATGGGAGAAATCAATCCTGGAGGAGCGGTCAACATGGTGATAGAGGTGGGAAGTCCCGAGGTTCCGCACTCTCCAAGAACTCCAAGAATCTGTGACGGGCTCATCTCCCTGTCAGGCGGTGTTGGAGCTCGCTTACTCCAATTCCGTGTGGCATGGGAGGAATGGTTAAGCGACAACTGGGTTCTGGATATCATCAGAAGGGGATATCTTCTAGCATTTTGCAAACATCCTCCTTCCAGTTCCTTCCAAATCACAAAGTGGCCGGGAGACAAAGTAAAAAGGCTTGCTCTCCAGGTCTTCACTTCTTCTCTACAAAAAGAAGGAGTCATTGTACCAGAAAGGACTCAAGGCTTCTATTCATACCTATTTCTGACCGAAAAGTCCTCGGGAGGGTGGAGACCCATCCTAAATTTACACATACTGAATGGATACTTGCATATCCGCAGATTCAAGATGGCGTCCCTTCAATAAATAGAGAAGGCTGTCTTTCCCAATCAATGGTTGTCAATAGACTTGTTGGATGCCTATTTCCACATCCCTATAGCCCTGGCGCATCAGAAATACCTGAGGTTCACAGTAGGGGAGGCTCATTTCCAATTCACGGCCTTGCCTTTTGGTCTAAGCATGGCTCCAAAGACCTTCATGAATGTACTTGTTGTTCTCATCGCAGAACTGAGAAAACAGGGCATATCCATCTTCCATTACCTGGACGACATCCTGATTGTGGCAGACAACAAGGATAGTTTGTATTCCCATGCAACTGTTTGCCTTCAGTTCCTACAATGTCACGGTTGGAGGATCAATGTCAAAAAGAGCCATCTGTGCCCGAGTCAGTCCATGACATACCTGGGTGCTCTGTTCGACACTTCCACGGGGACGATTCAACTCTCCCCAGAGAGAATCCTGAGAATACAGAAACAGGTTGTGGAGATGTTGGCATGCAAGGTGACTTCAGCAAAGAAGACAATGAGTCTCCTGGGTTTCATGTCCTCCATGATAGGACTGACAAGGTGGGCACAATGAAGAATGAAGAGTTTTCAGGCGAACTTCGTCCTTCAATTCTCCTCAAAGAGTCTACTCCAGGCCATCAAGATTCCGTTGTCAGTTCACAATTCCCTGGTTTGGTGGCTGAACAGTGTCTCCTTAGCCAAGGGCTTCCCTCTGGGAGATGTACAGTGGATAGTAATAATGACGGATGCCAGCCATTGGGGTTGGGGAGCCTATTGTCAATGCGACTTCGTGTAGGAGGAGTGGACGTTCCCTGCGGACAACTTGCCTTCCAATCTCCTGGAACTCTTTGCTGTTCTCGAAGCCCTGAAACACTTCTCTCTGCTAATTCGTCACCGTTGGGTGAAGATTCGGTTAGACAATACTGCGGTGGTAGCCTACATCAACCATCAGGGTGGCACCAGGAGCCGCAGGATGATGGTGTTTATGCATCAGTTGATGTCATGGTCCCAACGACACCTGGCAGGCCTCACAGCAATTCATCTTCCAGGGAAACAAAATCAGATTGCAGATTTTCTCAGCAGATCCAGAATTGATCCGGGAGAGTGGTCTTTGTCAGACAACATGTTCCAAAAGTATAGTGGACAGATGGGGCCTTCCTCAAGTGGACAGGAAGGTGCAGTGTTTCTTCACGAAGGACAACGATCCTCTAGGGGAGGTACGCTCTTTCCAGAAACTGGTGATTTCGAGAGGGGTATGCATTTCCCCCTTTTCCCCTGATTTTTCCCATTCTAAGGAGAATGAGGATGGTTCACGTCTCCCTCATACTCATAGCCCTGTTTTGGCTGTGCAGACCCTGGTTTCCTCTCCTGCAGAGCCATTGTGTAGAGCCACCTTGGAGTCTTCCGAGAGTCCCAGACCTTCTGTGTCAAGGTCCTGTTCTCCACCCAGACCCGTACTCCCGCAACCTGATGGCATGGAGGTTGAAATGGAAAGGCTGTTGAATAAGAGCTTCTCTCATGTGGTGGTAGACACTTTACTCAGGGCTAGGAAGCATTCCATTTCTAATGCATACTTTATAATTTGGGACGTTTTCTTTTCCTGGGCTTCATCGAGGGATGTTTTCATCCAATATCTTAGACTTTCTTCAGTCCGGGCTCGAGCAGGGTCTGAGCTACAACACCTTGAAGGTTCACGTATCTGCCTTTGATTCGTACGTGGCCAGGTTTCTTAAAGCTGTTCTAAAAATCAGACTTCCGATTAAGCCTTTCGCTCCACCTTGGGACTTGCCTCTGGTTCTCCAAGCTCTAAAGTCTCACCCCTTTGAACCTTAAGACTCAGTGCCTTTCCATTTACTCTCCATTAAAACTGCCTTACTGGTAGCTTTGGCCTCAGGCAGAAGGTCTCGGAACTTCATGCTCTGTCTGTCAAGGAGCCTTTCACAGTTTTCGACAAGGACAGGGTCGTCCTTCGTACTATCCCAGAATTTTGGCCTAAGGTCACCTCCACTTTTCATATTAATGAGGAAATTGTTCTCCCAGCTTTGCATCCAGTTCCACAAGTGGATGGTGATGTCAGCGATCTTTCCTCCTTGGATTTGGTGACATGCCTCAGAATCTACTTTGACAGAACCACCCCTTGGCGTTCATCTTCAGGCCTCTTTGTCCTTTATAATGGATTTAGGAAGGGCAGTCAGGCTCCTAAATCTACCATTAGCAGATGGATTGTTTCAGCCATCATCCATGCTTATCAGGCCTCGAACGCTCCAGTCCCGGATGGACTCAAAGCTCATTCCACAAAATCCCTTTCCTCCTGTTGGGCCTCCTCTGCCAAGGCCAAGGCCAATTTGTAGAGCTGCCACTTGGTCCTCTGCCACTACTTTCATAAGACATTACCAAGTGGATGTCAGAGCCGGTCATTCGGACCAGTTTGCTAAAAGTGTCCTTTCTGTATGAAACCCTTGATTCCTGAAGTTTTGGTGTTTGTCACTTGGTTTCTGGTACCAATACACTTTGCATATGATATTTCGGAGTCTTTGGTTTCTTTATTTATTCTTCCCTCCCTTGGTTATTACTTGGGTATTACCCATCGTTGTGCTGCCATGGATATGGCCAGGAAAAGGGAAAATGTATCCATACTTACCGTAATCTTCTTTTCCTGGTCATATGCCATGACAGCACAAAGGTCCCGTTCTAGGATATTGCTAGTAACAAGACTGAGGGAGGAGGGGATAGGAGGAGGTACTTATACATTTATTTTAATTAGTTCCTGTCTAATTAGGGATAGGAAGGAGCTACCCATCATTGTGCTGCCATGGCATATGACCAGGAAAATAAAATTACGGTAAGTATAGATACATTTTCCCTTATATACATATATATATTTTATTTCTTTTTTTAAATTTATTTATTTTGTTTTTTAGTTTGTTTTATTTTACTTTTAATTGGGTTTCATTGTGTTTATCTTTGATACATACTACTGATTCCTGCTCCAGTCTTGGATTATGTCTGGATTACTTGAAATTTTGCTTTATTTTACATTTTTTGACTGACTTCTGAGTTTGAATAACTGTGGTTACTTCTTGTGTGCCAATACTGTTTATCCAAGAACTCGACTTGACTATTTATAACTTTTACTTTGAACTAACTTTTCTCTCTTAGACAATGGTTTAAGATTGTTATTTTTTTTTCTCTTACAATTGCTCACCTTGTCCCTAGTAGGCTTCTCTACCCCAACCTGGGTCTAACATCCTGAGATGGAGAAACTTTTTTTTATTCTCTCTCATGGCCCTTTTTTTAAAGAATGTTCTTTTTTTCTCCCCTATTAGGGGTATATACCCAATTTTTTATACCCTTTTTAAAAATGTTATTTTTACATCCATCCATTTCTTTGGGACATGCAAAAAATCTCACAAAACACAATTTTATGTTATAATTTGTACAATGTTTGACAGAATTAGTTTAACATGTTCCTTAACATTCAGACAAGCTCATGCATACAATAACTCTGCACACATATGTAAGAAGTTTGATTCCATTTTAGTAGTATTGCTGGACTTGCTTATATCTTTCTTGGAGTGCGGAGGCTTGGACTCTAACATTATTAAGAGTTTTTTTTTCTCTTTACTATTTACGATTCATAGTATAAATCATGGTTTTAAAGTTTTTGTCATCTAATGTTAGCGGTCTGAACACCACGCACAAGAGAAGATTATTATTTAAAGAAGCTAAGTCCTACAAGTCTGATATCATCTGTGTCCAGGAAAAACATTTTAAGGATGATAAAGACTCCAAGCTTTTCCCAACCCAATTTTACTGTGTCTATGAAGTCTAGAGGTGCATCAATTTTTTTCAACAGGAATGTGGCATGCTTTACAGATAAGGTATTAACGGAAAATGACAGGAGATATTTGCTGTGGATAGGTAAAATCAATAATGTTGAGTATACAATTGTGAATATGTATTTTCCCAACACCGGTCAGTTACGTTTTTTTTCGGAAAATGATGGATCTGGTAATTGAGAATTTGAGAGGTATTTTGTTTGCTATTAAAATGGATGGATACCCTTTCCCACTTCCAAGTTCCCCTTACCTTTCCTACCCCGAAAATAATGTTTGTCTGTTCATTATAATTTGTTTAAAAATGTCTAAAATTGTAATAAAAATTATTTGAAAAGAATAGCAATTTAACCATGAAAGAGTGCAATAAGCGATTAAAGGCTTGTTGGTTTTTTTTTCTCCTTTCTAGGATACAAGCACCAGATGCCCTTCCCATTGTGAAAGAAATAAGATGTTTCACATATCATTTGCTTACGTGGAAGCAAGCTGAAAGCTAAAAAAAAAGCTACTTATGATAAAATGTACAGCTAAAACACTGTCTACTCCATCTTCAGAAATGATGGCAAACATAAATATGACAGGGACCTAGAGAGACAGCTAATAAGAAAAGACCCGAGCAGATGGAATTAGGAAACAGACCTGACTTATCTTCTAAGGGTTCAAATGAGGACAAAGTGATTGCTGAGTACTGAGAAATGTTCCTGTCCAGGAAGGAAAATTATACACCTGATCCAGAATTATTTGATACCGAGGTTTTGGATAATGGAATCACATTATTACAAGCTCTTTCTACTAAAGAAAATAGACATTTATTTAGAACAAATGAGACAAAGGACAAAAAGAGCAATTTTGTATACATTGTTGTTTAACATTGCTCACAAAATAAACTGAATTATGGGAATTTACAGAATTATGCTCATTCTTCTTTTCATCCAACATGATTACTGCATGTGAGTTTAATACCAGTCTACATTATATAAGGTTGTCTGGTTAAATCAATATCTTACCATTTTAAAAGCAACTACAGAAGCCTTCATATATGCCCTAATGAGTTTCCAGAGCATTCCTTGCTTTCACCATTCCTGAAAACAGTTCTAGACCATGGTCATGTTTCATGCATTCTCCAGTACAAGGATAAGAGAAGGATAAACAGTTAAGAACCTTACAGACTTTATATGCAAGATAGAAGTTCATAGCTTCTGAAATACTTCCATTTTGGTATTGCAATGCATTGTATAATTAAACAATCCACATACCGTATTTACTCAAATCTAATGCGCACCTTTATTGGTAAAATAAAGTCTCCAAAATGTGAATGTGCACTAAATTCAATGGCACATTAGATTCAAGTATGATTTCAGTACTAACAAAAAGGAAAGCACAGTGCAATATAGACAAATCGCACTTACGTACTCTTGTTTATCTAGTTCATCCTCTCTAAACTACCTACTCCGACAACGACTGCTCCGAGATACGATGGGAATGCAGTGCATATTTGCCAGGGTGAAATTCGCATTCTCATGCGAGACTTGGTTTCTGGGTACAGTAAAGGCGAATCCGAATGCATATTCTATTCGCCAGCAAAAAATTTTTTTGCAAGGTTTTAAAAATTTAAGTGTGCATTAAATACAAGAAAATACAGTATATCCTAGCTGAAATTCCTGAGAATTCATAATTTAAAATGTGCTAGTTAAAAAAAGGTATCCTTTTAGAGTTACAGGGTCAATAAAGACTTATGAACTCAATTTAATATTGTTGCATGAGCTTTTCAAATAATTTAATACTTTTGGATACAATTTTAAAATGATTTAATATTATGGAAAATACATAAATATTGTAATATTTCAATATTTTTCTATATATTGTTCTATGATATCTATTTTGATATTTTAATATATTGGGGGGGGAAAAAGATTATTAAAAAATATTGAATAATTTGAACATTTTATCCACCAATATTAACTTGAGGCTTTAATCTTCAATGAATGATGTAGGCAAGAAAAAACGTTATAACAGAAAGATTAGCATTTATTCAATATCAGTCATGGGTTTTGGGGATTGAATTCAAAGTAGATTTCAAATTTTAGGTTAACTAAACCTAAATTTTAGGTCAAGTAAACTGTACTTCCAGTTTGGCTATTTTGGGTTAACATTTAGTAATTCACTTTCACGGTTATTTACTAAGAGAGAATTATTGGAAATTCAATATGAATTTAAAATTTCAGGCCAAAATACCTAAACTAGAAAAAAATCTCCAGCCCCGGTTTGGCTCTTTCAGTCTATTATTTGAAATTCACAATGAATTCCTGACAATTCTCAGTTTAGTGAATAACCGTGACTTTGTTTAGTCTCGAATCCCACAGCTAGATTCCATTGCTAGTACTTGTTCTGTTGAAGTTTAACTGGTATAAAGAGTACAGATAGTTGTCAATACTGGTAAATTTTAAGGCTGGACAAAAGTTGCAAGGGGTGTCCCTCAGGATTCTGCTCTGGTTATGTTCCACCTATTTGTACATGATTTTGGAAGAGGTGTTGAAAGTCATGTGACAACTAGGTGAGGTAATACAATGTGAACAGAAGGATTTAGATAGGTTAAAGAAATTTCCACTTAAATGGCAGATTAAATTAATGTAGATAAATGCAAAGTTATGCATTTCACGGTGAAGTGTGCACAGCAAACCTACACCATAAATTGTAGTGAATTATTGAAAACAAAACATGAGGGGGATTTGGGAATTGTTTAAAGGAACACTTTAATGCCATAACTACTACAATCAGTAGTTGCTTAGGCCAGTAAGGTATCCGCATGCATAAAAGGGGCATTCATTCATATGACAAAAATATCATTTTTCCTCTTTATAAAACACTGGTAAGACCAAACATTGAATACCTGTTTTAAAGAAGGATATTATGGCACTAAATAAACTGCATAAACATGCTACAAAATTAATAAGGAGAATGGAAAATTTTAGTTTTGGAGATAGGTTCATAAATTTAATTGTTTAAGTAAAAAAACCTTTGCGTCAGAGAGAATATGATAAGATTATACAAATGTATTCAGTGTCTGGAACTCGATTCATAAACAGGTCTTTACATAGGACACACATTTAGAGTGGAAGAAAGGAGATTTAGTCTAAGGCAAAATAAATGGCTCTTTACAATAAAGATGTGAAATTCTCTGCATAAAGAGGTGGTTTTTATCAGAGTCTGTACTGATTTTTAAATGAAGAGTGGATGACTTCTTTAGAGAACACAATATTTAGGGATATAATATGATTGTTGCAAAATTGGAAACTGATTCAAACTTGTTTCTTGTGCCTTCTATTTTATTAACAGCAAAAACTGATGTGAGAAAGGCTGAACTTGCTGGACGCAAGTCTTTTTTTAGTGGTGTAAATCTGTAACTGATTTTCTATAAACTTTTTGTGAGGATGTTATAGTTAAAAGAGCACTCTGATGTCATTAACACTGCACCCTGCTGTATTAATTATGGTGCCATAAGTGCCCTGGCATAGTTAAACCATTTTGGTATGGTTTAAAAACTTTCCTGTGTTTCGCTGGATACCCGTCTCAGCCTCCTCTAGAGCCAGCTTTTGATAGCATCACTGAGCTAAGCCCTGCTATGTGGTGGTACTTATCGCTAAAGACCACAAACAGGCATAAGTGCAGTGCAGAATGAAGGTGATGGCAGAGTTACCACTCCGTTGGTGTGATGTTGCGAGTTGCTTCCATGCACTGGAGACGATTCGGACCTCGCACACCTCGGGAGGACGCCATCCTTCAGTCTCGTTGTACTGACTTCCTAGCCTTCAGAGTTGGAAAATGCTGCCAAAGCAACGATCCACGCGTTTCACCCGTTATACTGGGCTTTCTCAAGATAGGATGCCACAGCGGAAATCGCGCAAATATATACCCTTTTCGCATAACTGAAATTATCGGTGCTCTTAAAGGCACATCACATGTAAAAGGCCAGATAAATGAAAGTTCATAAAATCAATGTTTGCAGTGTCATCCTTACACAGAAAAAATATTAAAATCACATGTTCATATAAGAAAGTTTGCTAAAGGTACATACAAGTATAAATATCTTATAGTATCATTGTTAAAAAAAAAAAAAAAGACATAATTTGTTCTTGTGATAATCATGACAAATAGAGGTTGATTCATAATGCTACCTATATATATTTTTTATGTAATATGATGCTTCTATTCACCTCTAATGTCTATGATAACTCAAATAGTTACAAAAATTACTTATAGTGTCAATTCATGAGATCAGTGCAATACAGAATATTAAAAAAAAAAGTTGCATAAGAAAAAATGTTAAAATAGGCCTATCTGTAAAATAGGATAAAAAGTATGTTAATGATAAATGAAAGGTAATAGATGGAAAATCATTAACTTAAGAATTATTCACATTACCAATAAAAATTATAAAAAAACAACACCATAGAATTTTTTTTTTTTTTAACAATTATGATACTATATGTGATTTATACTTGTATGTACCTTTAGCAAATTTTTGATATGAACATATGTGATTTTCTCTGTGTAAGAATGACACTGCAAACATTTTATTTTGCGATTTTATGAACTTTCATTTGTCTGGACTTGTATCAAGCAATTTGTGAACAACCTTCAAACCTCTCAACTAGGAAATTGGTTCCTAAAACGATTGGCTTGTATCACTAGCGCTAAAGGATATAGTTTTTTTTTCTTACGTATTTCAAAAGCAATTAAAGGTATTTATGATTTGCATACATAAGTCAGCATTGTTAGTTCTTGACTTAACCTTGTGAATTGAGCACAGGTCCTTGTACAGCCATTTTAGGCTTTGAGTTCCGGTTATTCCCCTTTCTGCTGCCTACTGTCTCAAAGCCGGACTGAAACAGATTTTTAATGCATATCTAAAAAAGACTCAGAATTTTTACAAAAGAAGACCGTGAGTGCAGCTTTCTCCTATACCTATTGGATAACTCTAGCCCTGGCTGGCACCCAGCATTTGCACCATTTGAGCCTGTGTGCAGGGACTTTTGCCTTATATATATATATATATATATATATATATATAATGTAGAAAGTAGATGGCTACACTCGTTGATCCTGATTTTTAAATGGCATAATAAAAGTAAATTTTTATTTGAAAGACTGTGAGTGCAGCCATCTACTTTCTACATTCTATTTTGGAGCCCTGTTAATGCACCCGACCAAGAACATTGTGCAGCTTGTGTGCAAGGTACTGTAATCTTTTATATTTATATAGTTATAGATACAGTATAAATAATACAGAGTTATAGATACAGTAGATTTACTAGAGTAATGTTACCATTGATCACAGCTACGAATAAATAATATTGGTAAGGAAAAATATATTTTCCATTTTGTTTTTGTTTTTTACTACATGATTACACAACGTCACTATTTCCTGTTTAAATACATGTAACAAATATATTTGTTTCTATAGATCTCTTGATTTTTCCATGGTTTAGCTTCCAAATCTGGCCAGATTATTACATACGATAGCTATGGTATGTGTCATGCTTCCATTTTTACTGCTGTAAGATGCACAACGCTTGGTGCGTAATATAAATACCTCAGCTGCAGCTTTATAAGCCCAGCAAAGGTCTCAGATGTTTCTTTTCTTTTGCATGAGGGCAGGCTGGATAGATGCTGTCTGTGTCGTTGTGCTCTGCTATCCCAGGTGACACCAGGATGACTCACCACTTCACTGGGGAAGTAATAGCAACAGTGGCGATAGCAGAGATAGGGCCTTAGGAGATGGACCACTATCTGATGAGGCGAGGAGTAAGGTTAATAGCTTGATCATCACATTATGTGGCACAACTGTAGAGGGCCTGCATTAAAATGAGCTCTGGGAATAAACATGTGCCAGCTTGTTGTTTTGTTTAGTTTTTTTCCTGGAGCGGCTCTTTATTTGTCAGACTAGGTTTACTGGAAAGTATATAAAAGGTCACACTGTAGAAGAATGAAAGCGTGAGGCCAATGTATAAGGAATGGGCAAGGAAAGTGGGATGGCATGTATATCGATCACGGAGAAGCAATGAAGATGATGCAGCTGTTATTGTTGGAGTTAATCACAGACACAAAGTATTATAATCATTATTTTCTACGCGTAGCTATCTGTTACTGTACACAGATTAAAATGAGTAAATGGAGGGGACAGCTGAGAGACTAGCAAATGGTTTGCATCATTTAGTCGATCTGGGTCATATTATCTACTATCGAATACAGCAGTGTTTTTAAAAGGTAGACCCCAGCTCTTCAAGTGGTAGAACTCCCACAATAATCTCCCTTAAAAGCATGGCCCTGGGATGGGAGAAGCACACCAGGTGCAGCCAGTTCAGAGGTGTGCCCATGAAACATGCTTCTTGTGACGTGCCTGGCTGTAAAGGAGTCATATCAGCATGCATGCATACCAGGATGGCAAGCTGCATGTAGTGTTGTCCACATACAGAGCACTTTGCTTTTGCCAGAAACAGGATAGTGGGACATGGGTCCTAGAATCTAGACAGGACCCT